ACGAATTATCTACTATGATAGCGTTTGAAGTAATATCTGTATCTGTCCGTCTATCAATTTAGAATATTCCCTTGGTATAAGTTGCAAAGATTTTTCGTAATTATTTGTCTGTGTTTAAGTTCGTCATTATTAATACTTGGGTTGATATGGTATTGTGCTTCATTATATTCGGGTCCGATCAAAGTGTTTTTTAAGTATCACATTATATCTTTGGTTCGTTATTTAAATGTTGGATTTCATTTTAGGTACACACACACACACACACACACACACATATATATATATATATATATATACAGCTGAAAATGAAATCCAAGATTTATATATATATATATATATATATATATATATATATATATATATATATATATATATATATATATATATATATATATATATATATATATAACGGCTTAGGGGTAAAATCTCTGACTGACGCCTATTTAACCTGGTTTCGATCCTAGCTAGAGGCAACCGGATGTCTAGCTCACACTGATGAGCTGTGATAAAACGAAACAGTCTGTCTGTGGATGACAATATATATATATATATATATATATATATATATATATATATATATATATATAGATAGATAGATAGATAGATAGATATTTAACATGAACGTACACCAGTATGTCCATAAGTTAATAATGAAAAAGCATTTATTTCACTGAAAGATTCACTTTTAAATGAAATGTAATTCTATGTCAATGCACTTAATTCAGTGGTGAATATCAGTCGTACATATGGTGAGGAAAATTAAGGATGCAAACATTGTTAAGAAAAAAAAAAGGAGAAGAATTTCTGGTGGGCCATGATCGTCCATGGCACATGAAATAAGGGAGAAGAACCGTAGTTTATAGAGGGAGAATTTTATATCTCAGTTCAGTTGCTAACTACATGACAAGCTACAGACTTATTGATCCACTCTCTAGCAGAGTCGAATTCATTTGTTATTAGCCAATGTCGGAAATGCTACGCGAAGAGCACGCGTTGTACTCAACATGGTAATTAAAAAAAAAAAATACTGACGAAGACAGAAAGCGGGAGGGAGTAAGGGGGGAGCGAGGGAGGGAGAGAGAGAGAGAGGGAAGTGATTGAATGAGAGAGTGGGTAGGGAGAATGTTAAATACTGACTGAAGAGAGTAAGGGGTGAGAAGATACGTAAAAACAAGAAGAGGACACATAGAAAACGACCAGCTGAAGGGGAGGAGTGCATGCAGAGAAAAAGAGAGGAGGAATCTAAGAGGGTGATGGTAGGAGGAGGTAACTGAAGAATAACAGAGAGAGTGTAAAAAGAATATCATAAAAAAATATACAAAAATACAAATAAATGTCCTTTTAAAAAATTCCCAAATAAGAGAGAGAGAGGTAAAGAGAGAGTGGGGGTGACAGACAGACAGAAAACAGAGACAGGAGGAGTACAAAAGTGAGAGAAAAGAGTGAGGAAAAGAGAGAGTGCAAGAAACCTAATAAAAAATGCAAAAGAAAGAGAAAAGAATAGAGGGAGAGGGAGAAAAAGAGAGAAAAAGTAAAGAAGTACGAACAAAAGAACGACATACAAAGAAAGAAAAAAAAAGGACACACACAGAGAAAAAGAGAAAGAAATATGAAGAAAAAAGAGAGAAAGAGGCAGTTAGAAAAAGGAGAAAGAGGGAGAAGTAATAATGAACGTAGAAAGAAAGAAAGAAAGAAAGAAAGAAGGTGAAAAAAGAGAGTAAAAGAGAGGAACAAAAAGCAAGAACGGGTATAAAGAGAAACAGTGAGAGATAAAGATAGCGAAAAAGCGAAAGACTGAAGCGAGGAACCAGCGAAGTTAAATAAAATAAGACACAAAAAACACAATACACCTACATATGTACGACACACACATATACGACACACAACAATTCACACAAGCCCACATGCGCACAACAGACACGTACACACATTACACATGGAGGACACATTTATGATAGACAAAAATGTTTCATGAAATGAGCGCCATTTTTTTTTATCATTTGGGATTTACAAGGCTTGGTTTAGTCTGACTTAAGTTAAAATATAATTATCGAATATCCAATAGAGTTCGAACTCACTACTCTAGCGAAATGAAAAGTGATATATATATATATATATATATATATATATATATATATATATATATATATATATATATATACCCTAATTTATCTATCTATCTATATATATATATATAGATAGATAATATTAGAAATAATATACTTTTATACATATGCAAAATATATAGATATATATACATAGGTGCCTACACATATATATATATTTTTAGAATAAAAAATTCCGAAAGGATAGAATCCAGGTAGAACTCAATGTCCAGGACAGAGTAAGGATATCATAAAAATGCTTAAACACTAATATTCCATAGTCATAATTTATTCCATTGAATCGTAAATACGATCCAATTCATTGTAGGTCTGATGAATTGGATCGTATTTACGATTCCAATGGAATAAATTAAACCATGGAATATTAGTGTTTAAGTATTTTATATATATATATATATATATATAGGCACCATATCTTTATTCAAACATGCTTCATTGAATAATAAAGACATATTTTGTCTATTTCTTTTTATATTGATCCTTTCCAGTTATCTAATCAATTTCTTGATGTTAAGACAAATTCATCAAGGAAGGCACCGTAGTTTTTTTCCTGCCTCAGGGGTAAATTACAAAGACAAATTTATTGTAACTGTGATAAAATTTGGATAGGAAATGGATTAAATCCGACATTGCCACAGAGGAGAAACGAGCGATTAGGCATGTCAGATCCAATGATGTTTCCCTATAGGGGATGTAGGTTCGAATCCTGTCGGTGGAAGCATATAATTCGGGAAAGATTTCTCGAATACTCAGGCCAGTAGATTTAGTTAGATAAAAAATAGTGTTCAATAAAAAAAAAAATTATATATATATATATATATATATATATATATATATATATATATATATAGATGTGTGTGTGTGTAAAAATTAAAAAATTCATTTTAGCCCAACATTTTATTATTTCCAACGTTTATTACATCTATTGACATACGCCTACGCATGCGTCTGTTTCAAACACGTGAACCCAGTAAATAAGGTTTGAAGTGTATGCATATATATATATATATATATATATATATATATATATATATATCAAAAGATATACTTGTTTTGTACATGGCAAAAGGAAGGATAGACATATCGTAGTTAAACTGAATAAAATATATAAAAAATTATAAGAAGATATTTAATAACAGAAGTCAAATTAAAATAAGACTGTGCACGATATATATATATATATATATATATATATAGATAGATAGATAGATAGATAGATAGATAGATAGATAGATAGATAGACAGGAAGTCCTCGTGAATGAAAAGAGAAAGGGACAATAGAGTGACGTTCTTCGTGGCTGTAACGGATATACGAAAAAACGATGGTTTTCTTCGACAGAAGAACGTAAGCTCGATAACACACCCACCACCACACAAACATATATATATATATATAGATATAGATATAGATATAGATACATAAATAGATATGAAAAATCTAAGATGCATAGATAGATATGAAAGGACTGAGATAGATATGAAAGGCTCAGATAGATATGAATATATTTATAGATAGATACATAAATAGATATGAAAGGACTGAGATAGATATGAAAGACTCAGATATGAATATATATATAGATACATAAATATGAAAAGACTAAGATACATAGATAGGTAGATATGAAAAGACTGAGATAGACAAATGAAGGACTCAGATAGACATGAATATATATATATATATATATATATATATATATATATATATATATATATATATATATATATATATAGATAGATAGATAGATAGATAGATAGATACAGAAATAGATATGAAAAGATTAAGATACATTAATAGATATGAAAGACTCAGATAGATATGAATATATATATAGATAGATACATAAATAGATATAAAAGAATAAGATACACAGATAGATATTAAAGGACTGAGATATACATGAAAGGATCAGATCGATATGAATACATACATACATACATATATATATATATATATATATATATATAGATAGATAGATAGATAGATAGATAGATAGATATGAAAGTACTAAGATAGATATGAAAGACTCAGATATGAATATATGGATAGATAGCTACATAAATATGAAAAGACTAAGATACATAGGTAGATATGAAAAGACTGAGATAGACAAATGAAGACTCAGATAGTTATGAATATATATATATATATATATATATATATATAGAGAGAGAGAGAGAGAGAGAGAGATCAAAAAAAAGATTAAGATACATGAGTAGATATGAAAGGACTCAGATAGATATGGAAGACTCAGATATATATATATATATATATATATATATATATATATATATATATATATATATATATATATAAATAGATATGAAATGACTAAGATACATAGATATGAAAGGACTGAAATAGACATGAAAGTCTCAGATATATATGAATATATTTATAGATGCATAGATATGAAAAGCCTGGAATAGATAGATAGATAGATAGATAGATAGATAGATAGATAAACGAAAGTGTGGCGATCAAAGGTATGGAATGACATTTATAGGAAGCCTTCTGGAGACAAATATGAATCTAAAACTAATTCAGGATGTGAGACGATAAGTTAAATAGGATGAGTTTGGGGCGCTGTAGGATGGAAAGAAAATTGATTAAAAGTTATTAAGGGAACACATTGATCAAACGGGAAAACATTTCATAGAGCCATGTACAAATCTACAAAAATCTATGTACAGAATATATTGCACAAACTACAAAATTTCTTCAAAAGATCAAAAAAATATTAATCTGAATATGGCGCGAACGTTTGCCAACCAATTTTCCTTGTCAACCATGGCCAATGACAGGGCTGCGATTTTACTCTTAATTTAATATTACCTACCACAGGGTCGGGGAACTCGATTCTTTTATTAAGCTTTGCTGGTCTGAATAGACACCCTGTAGGAACAAAAACAAGATTTGGTAAAGAGAGGACAAAAATTCTTTTAGTGTTAAAGACCAATACGGTGTAAACTATATGTATGCAGAAAGTACGTTGATGATCTCACATCTCAGATCGGAGGGCTTACTAGATTGAAGTCAGTGGTCAAGGCATAGTGATCCCTCGCTGGAAGCACGTGTCCATATCCAAAGCGAGATTGGAGGACATCGACAGCGGTTTGACTTGGGGAGAGCGAGCGAGAGAGAGACAGAGACAGAAAAAGATGGTTTAGCTTTACCAGATTTAGTTCCTCAAGACATGTTACGCATGAATGAATATCTCTTCGGATTTCAACTCGGATATGTGGCGACTCTGTGGCCACAACCTGTCAAGGGCATATTGATGGTGATGATGATAATAATAATAATAATGATATTGTACATGTAAATGTTGCCAGAGAAACACTGAATTATAGTTGGGCTGGCAAACGCTTGTCTACAAAGATGACTTGTAAAACCTGAAATAAATCTATATATACATTGAGAGATGAGGCAGGTAAAATTACTTGCCGAATTACTGTCACGGATAACAATTGCTGGCTGGGCGTCGGCAGACTAACTGATTTTCCAGCTCTCTCCCCCGCTCTTTCTCTCTCTCTCTCTCTCTCTCTCTCTCTATATATATATATATATATATATATATATATGTGTGTGTGTGTGTGTGTGTGTGTGTGTGAGGCACGGTGAAGTAATGGATAGCGTCTCAGACTGTGGAATCGGAGAGCTGAATTCGAATTCCAGTATTACATACCTTGGGAAAGGTATGAATCTATCTCCTCCCCGCCGGATATGGGTGGATAGCAGGACGGCCTGGGTCCTATAGCCTCAAGTGGCAACCGGTCGTCGAGAAGGAAAATCCGAATTCAAGCCCTAAGAAGGGTCGTTTAGGGACCTAGTGGCACACTGTGCACCAGTTCTCTATATTCGGCTCTTCAAATCATAATATATATATATATATATATATATATATATATATATATATATATATATATAAGAATACATATAAATGCGTTCTATCTCCTTTAACTGTTACACAAAACATTACTTTGGATTGATTCAAATTCCAGTATTATAAAAAAGGCCAAGATGTAGCCTACAAGATCTAATCTACCACTGACAATACAGGGTTCTTGATAATGACTGATATCATTGAAAGTAACTGAACAAAACAGAACAAAATATAAACAGTTTATCCACAATATATATATATATATATATATATATATATATATATATATATATATATATATGTGTGTGTTTGTGTGTGTTGTTCGTGCTGTTGCAAATGGTGTGTAGATTAGTGAGGTATAGAAATATATATATATATATATATATATATATATATATATATATATATAGACTTGCCTTAAGTTATGTAAATTAAATAAACCTCAATAACTCAAAAAGTTCTTAACCAATATTAGTTAAATTTAAACACGTCGATTTCCACCCTTAGTGAAATACTTAACTAAATTTTTCACCGTCTTTAATAGTTAATTTTTGAGATATTTGGAATTTACGAAAATGGTGTAACTGAAATTATACAGATTAAACTCATATTAGCTTAAGACCTTTGAAATCTAATAAAAAACTATTTTTTCTTTTTGTCCCTAATATATATTGAAACATGGGTAGCATGTTTGTTCTTTTTCGAAAAGTGATTTTTTCTTCATTGAACGAAAGTGTCAGTGTTTTTTGTCAATGTTATTCATACTGCTTAGTTTAGTACATATTATTTTTGCTATGTGCATTGATTTTTAGAGTAGTTTTTGTGTACGTGTTTTGGCGTGGTGGCTCTCCTCTCCAACATTATGTAGGAGTCTCCTCATAGCCCAGATAAGTCCCCGTCAGCTACAGCAGCTACGATAGCTGTGCCAACATTATGGACGTCAGAAAAACCAAAGAAGTACCCGGAGTATTACGTAACTCTAAAAGAAAAATATAAAGAATTTATTGACAGTAATGAATTACTGTCGATATCGTCTTCTTGCAGGCAGTTGCTACTAGAACAATCTCGCTGCTGACCTCGAATGTTAAGTCTTGAAAACTGACAGGCGTCAGCCGGGAAATAATGGAGAAGGCTCTTAAGAGTCTCAATATAGCCCCAAAAGTTCTAGCCAAGAGGTCCAACGCCATGTAGGATATCCTCCTGTCAACAGAGAACGAAGTCAAAAGTCTAGCGGGTAGTATTCTCATCACAAAATAGGTGATATTACAAACCGAATACTTGGGCACCGTAAGACAAGGATTGCGTTGCGTGGGGTGCCCTTGGACATATCTGAAGACCATTCAGGGGACTTTTTGCCCAATATGGAGAGGTTGCCGAGGTCACACCAGCTAAAGGTAAAACATTAACAAGAAAAAGCTTTAATGACATCCGCGATATCTTGACATGCGGTGGATGAAGAATATTTGCAGTTATGCATGGCCGTCGGCCCCACTGTTGGTCCTGTGGTGCCACGAGGCAAATGTCTAAGGAATGTCCTGGCAAGAACCCGGCACCACCAACACAACAACGAACAACAGTCCAACAGTCCAACAATCAACAGTCCAACAACAGGCAGCAGTAAAGGAAGCTGTGGGTCAGGCCCCCAATGATGCCAGTGAGTGGCAACAGGTGACCAGGAAGGGATGCAGGGCAACAGCCCCTCTTCCACCTCCCCAGCAGGATATCTCACCGGGGCGAAAACATCAGAACCCGAAGCAGTAGACGTCCCTGTAGTGACAACAGTAACAGACGCAGCAACAACCCCAACAGCAGACAAAGCAACAAAAAGCACACTAACAACAATTAGAACAGCCACAGCAAAACAACAGCAACAACCAGATCAAGAAGTACAACATGAGTCTGTGCACCAGCTACCATATGTAGTTATGGAGGTGGAGGTCATGATCTTCTTTTTTAAAATGGGGGCAGAGACGAGATGGAGGACGTGACAAACTTTTTAAAAAGAAAAAAGTCTGGCCGTAGGAAGTTGGAAAGTTCAAGAGAATACCCAAGGTCCCATTCAGTTGCCATCTTATCAACTAGGCAAAAAGACACTGAGCCAAATAAGGCTAAGGGCCTCCCCGCTTCCCCCCACTAAAATTTTGCCATCTCCCTCCCCCATAGCATCCCCATCACCAGTTTACAAACAAACCCATCCCAAGGAAATGAAATCTTTCCCTAGTTGCCAGGTAGACAGAAAGGCTCTCGAATGGGACCTCTCATCACAAAGGAAGGACATACTAAGACCCTTATTTAAATGTACCTCCGTGGACGAAACTTTCCCAACGCACCTGATGTGACGGCTCTCATCAGGAACACGGATTGGAGCGATCTGAAAGTGAATGATTAATTGGCGGAGGCCAGGGACGCGTTTCTTAATATAAAAATGGTACTACTTAGCTCACCGGAGCTGCGAAAAATGTCGCAAATGTTTGCAGAGAGGGTCCCGGTTATTCTCCACCCCTCTTTACATAGGACCCTAAAATTAACACCTACCCTAAAATTAACACCTACCGGTCGCGCGCTTTTGCGCTGTCACGATTGGTTCGTCAGGGTTACCCGCTGTTGCCCCTATTTTATGCTTTGGCGTTGGCGCCCCTCCTTCGCCGGCTGAGGGGCAGGGCGTGCCTTGCGTGTAATCGCTGTCCTTGGTGGGGCTTGAACTAGATTTTTCGCCTACGCCGATGACGTGACTACTTTCGTGTCGTGCCGCAGCGACATTGTAGTGGTGCAGAAGGCGCTTGAACGCGGTACGAGAAGATGACGGGGGCCAGGATTAAGCGCAACAAGTCTTCTGGCTAGTGGTGAGGTACCTGGAAGTGGAATCGATCTTCCAGAGCCCTTTGGTGGAATGGACGAATCTGTCCGCATTCTTGGAGTGTGGTTCGGGCCCGGACTTCACCCGTAGAAAAATTGGACTGAAGTACTGGCAAAGGTCGGCTCGTCGGTCGAGATTTGGCACCGAAGGCGGTTGTCCTTGATGGGTAGGGTTGTACTTCCCCTCTGTAACGAACGTAAGAAGGTGATCGATGGTTTCCTGGCATTCCACTAGTGGGGTACTCGCAAGCATCATGTCGACAGAGGTGTCATTTCCTAACGTCCGTGTCATGGTCGAGGGCTGGGAATGCCACACTTGGAGTGTCATCGACATGCCTCGAAGTTGGCTTTCCTTCGGTGCGCGTCGAAAGAAGATTCCTTCATGCTGAGGATTTCCTCGCCTTACCATCTCTCCTCCGGTTTCCAGGGCTGAGCGAATTCGTAAGCCCCGGCAGTAGACGGATTTCTTGCTCGAGTGTCGATTGGCCTTGAAGGTCATTCCTCGGTCCACAGACCTTTCACGGGAATTAGTGGAGGTGTACGCGAAGGATCCACTGTACGGGAGGTTTGGCTTGTCGGCGACCGAGTCGCGCCTTTTCTGGTCTTAAGCGCCAACAGCGGATTATCTCAGCAAACCTGTTTTCGCTTACCTGGCGATTGTTTCGTAACAAGCTTTTCGAGGAAACGGCTTCGCACGCCTTCTACCATTGTCCTCATGTGCTCCCTTTTTCGGACTATGTCGGCGAGTTGACGGCTCGTATCGATCCCAAGCATCTCGTGTCCATTGATCGCGCATACACATGCGATAATGTGTTGCCCCCGTACTCTGGGGAGAAAAGGATGGTGTTTCTCACGTTGGCAAGAATGGTGATATGGACATCACTATTCTCATCAGGTTCTAGACGGATTCTTTCGTCATCAGCTGAAGATGAAAATCAGAACAGATAGAAAGCGTTTATTGTCGACAACAAAAGGTGGGTAAAAGTTGCAAGCTTGGTACGAGTGAATGGGGCCAAACTTGTTTTTCTTTTTTAAGTCCTCTTTGAAGCAAGGTGTTGGTTTCCTGCAAACCTTACTCTTAGTAAGTTAGACACAATATGTTTACCAAGTTAATGTGAGTAAATTTTCCAGGATTGTTCTCTTTTGTTATGACCCAAATCGAGATTCCCAATCTCCCCACTTTGTTTTTTTTTTTCCTTATTTTCATCTCGACTAGATCAGCCTTTATATTTCCCAAACCGTCATTTATTATTTTACTTTCCCTCTCAGTGAGTTTGCTTCTTGATTCTGTTCAAAGGCAGAATACAGAGGCCACTCTTATTATTTTTTGTGGGGTGGTTGGTTCCTACTAACATCTGTTTCGTTTTAATTTGAATGCCTTGTTTTCTTTTTAGTTTCGTTTTTTTGGGTTCATTCTTCACCCCGACTCATTTCATGAGCACCTATTTTTATATATTTTTGTAAGAAAGAAGAAAAAACAAAAAACTAAAAGAGAAATTTTAACTGTAAATAATAAAATTTTTATGTCATGTATTTTTTCAAGGTTTCCTTGAAAATTTGTGGTAGTTTGGTATATGTAGTATTAGATGGCGACAGATGATTTTTTTTGTGGTGAATGATCAAATTATAAAGAATGCCTGGGCCGTGAATCTGATTAGTTAGGTGCAGGATAGAAAGTGTTGACCAGTCTTACCCCCTTCCTTATTGGCCTTGTGCCACAATTGTTTCAATTGAAGCAATAAATAACATGGATAAAGGGAAAGATCTAACAACTGCTGAAAAACAGAAAATAACAAAAGTTATTGAATGAAGGAATGCCCATATTGGAGATGTCAAAGGAGTTTAGCAAAGATCATCGAATGATAACGAAAGCTGTTGACGGGGTGACGCCGCGAGCGGAGACCCGTAGCGCACATGACGCGCGAGGCGCGAAACTGGAAGGGCAGGCAGAGAAAGGAGTGGAAGACGAGCGAAGAACGGGTTGACTTGGAGGTCGTGAACGGCGCATCGCATAAAGACGACGACGACAACCCGAGAAGATCTGCCGCTAGTTGCACGAACGTGCGCGTCCGTCGCCCTGACCCGAAAACCGCCGCCTTCCGCGTACCGCCGAACACCGCCTAGACCTACCCTGCGACCCCGACCTGACCCGAACTCGAGCAAGACGGCAACGCCTCTACGCCAACGGACTACTACGACACCTTGAACCCGCGCCGCAAAGCGCGAACGCTACAGCCCGTACCAGTTCATCGCTTCTTGCGGGCACAGCCCGACCGACCCAGTCCTCGGATCCAATCCTTCTTCCGAAGGTACGGATCCATTTTGCCCACTTGCCTTACCTACATTGATGCCATTGACGAGAGGCTGTACACCTTGGAGACCTACTGCGGATGGCGTGTACGGACCGACTCGAGAGCTGCGAAAACCGGACCCGGATTTTCCAGGGCCGCTGAAAGCGCACCGGACGCCGCCCGAGCCGCGGCGCTCTACACGTACCTTTTCCGCATCTCTGCCGGTCTAACACGAATCAAAAGAAAAAGACTTTATGAATTTGCTTCCACGAGATGAACGTAAAATAAAGCGAGTTATAGCGAAACAACCACTTTTGGTCATCGCTCAGATCTTTGAAAAGGATGGAATTGAGGGAGTCAAGAAGGACAAATGCGTAAAATACTTTTTGAGTTGGGATCTGTAAAACAATCTTCTAGGCAACCTCCACTCACTAAAGCAAATATATTAAAGCGTCAAAAGAAATACATCAAAATTGGCTTTTCTAAAGTAATTTTCAAGGACGAATCTCGAGTGACATTTGATGGGCCTGATGGATAGGCCAAATGATGGATTTTATCCAATTCAAATATACCTGTGTCTAAAACAAAGAGGTGGTAGTGTTATGATATGAGCTCGAATTGTTGACCAAAGTATTATTGGATCATTCAAAGTCGATGAAGCAGTTAAACTGAACAGTGCTAACGACTTTCTTTGCTTGGTATAAATCCAAGTCTCGTAGTTTCAAAGTTAAGTTTATATTTATGCACGACAATGCTCCTTCTCGCAGAATCAGGCCAGAGATTGGTCAGGAAAAGTGCGGGTTCATTAAAGACACCGGAAGAAGGAACGCTATATTCATGCTCAGAATGTTATCAGAAAGAGCGATAGAAATGCAGAAGGAAGTATACCCGTTTCATAGACTACGCAAAAGCGTACGACAAAGTACGCCACAAGGATCTGATGGAACTGCTTAGCAACATTATCATAGCCGGGAAAGTTATCAGAATTATCGAGAACCTATACTGGCAGCAAACAGCATGCATGCGCACCGGGAACGAGTTCAGCGAATATACAAAAATAGAAAGGGGCGTAAGGCAAGGATGCATCTTCTCACCAGACCTGTTCAACCTATACAGTGAGGCAATTCTAAGAGAATTGGAAACTTTACCGGGATTTAGCATTGGCGGACACAAAGATACGCAGATGACACAGTACTGATAGCAGACACAAAAAGGAAATTACAAAACCTCTTACAGAAGGTAGCGACGGAAAGTGAGACGAAGGGACTAAACATAAACTACAAGAAGACAGAATGAATGCATGGTCATCAGTCAGAGGATGAACCCCGAAATGCGATTTTCAGGAACACTAGAATCAAGTAGTCGCGGAAATTTAAATATCTGGGAAGCATTTTGACATAGGACGGTAAAATGCGACACTGAGATCCGTAGACGTATTGGGATGGCCAAGGACACATTCCAAAAGCTGGGCAGAGTATTGCTAGACAGGAGGAATTCTTTGGTAACAAAGAAGAGAGTACTGAGCTGTTACGTGACATCTGTCTTTCTTTACGGCAGCGAATGTTGGACGATTTCCTCTAAGATGAAGAAGAGACTCGAGGCGACGGAGAGATGGTTCTACAGAAGGATGCTAAAGATATTATGAACCGAACGTGTGAGTAACGATGAGGTCTTAGAGAGGTTACAAACAAGGAGAAGGCTTATACTTAACATCAGAAAGTGACAGCTGAAGTTTCTGGAACACATAATGAGGAAAGAGGGCCTGGAGAATCTGATATTCACAAGTCAAATAGAGAGGAAAAGAGACAAGGGAAAGCAGCGCGTGACATACCTGGCGGGCTTAAGCAAGTGGATGACAGGAACGTGGTTTGGGGGAGGAAGCAGAGGGAAGGATTTGGTTTGGTTTGTTTTACGGCATAACAACCTCAATGGGTTATTTAATGCCGACAACTTTTTTTCCTTGTAATATTTTGTTTTGTCAAAAATGTATTTCTGGTAATATTTTTCCTCAAAAATGTATAGGTAATAATAGTATTTAAAAAAATGTATTGCTGGCAATATTTTTTTTTTTCAAAAACGTATTGCTGGTAATATATTTTTCAAAAATATATTGCTGGTAATAGTTTTTTTCCTTGAAAAATTTATTTTTGATAATAATTTTTTACAAAGTATTTCTGGTATGTATTAAAACCTATTTTTACACTTTCATAAGGCTTTTTACCTTATTTTCGGGTTAACTATTTGCCCATAGCTGGGACCCTAACAGGTGCTACCACCTCGGATCAGGGTGGACCTGGGAACACCAGCAATTAAGAGGTGGTTCCACGTTCCTCAAAACCTCTCGGTCAGAGGCCTTGCTGTTGGGCGTAGTTTATCGTCTTACCCAGGACGCGGATGTAGTTTGTCGTCATACCTAGAGTGGCAAAGGAAAGGAACTTGTTGAGAGCTGCAATGGATAGCGGGAGGTGGAGAGCCATAATCGCCTACGTCCTGAAAGGATATGGCACAGTGAGAGCACTGACATTTGCGTTAAACCGCAGCTGGTGGTTATCCTCAATACCCAATTTTATTTATATCTAAATAAACTTATCTTAGCCGATGCGCTTCGCCCTCTCATGGATTTTATCAAAGAAAATGTTAGGATTTTAATTTTACAACAGATTTTGTTTATAATTACTTATATACTTATATACTACTTATATACTTATGAATATTTATGAGCGTTCTTGATTTAAAAATGCTGAAAACCTTACGATATTTTTGTTTCTGGAAATAAATACATGTTATAAAATAAAATCTTAGATTTACATCAGAGGACAACACGCGTTGGTAAAGAAACATTTTTCTTTTGTCTTCATTCATATACAGAGCCATCTCGGTTTTCGAACGTCTCACATGTCGAACAAATCGATTTTCGAACAGAATATTCCAGATGAAAATGCCTTGGTTATCAAACAAAATTTCGATTCTCAAACAACATTGCCGAACCGAGTTAACCCGAACGGAATCATTTCTTAGTCGACCGCCATGTTGTATACATTCGTGTGTTGGGCTGTGCTTTTTTTTCCAATTTTATTGTACTGTGCCTTTTTTTCTCTTCATTAGTACTCAGTCATGGCCCCAAAGAAAGCTAGCAGTGATACTGGTAATGGAAAAAGAAAAAGTTAAGAGAAAAACAATTGTTGATGATATTGTCTCTTCTTAGTTTTATATGGCAAAATCAACGATCTATATCATTCTTATAAATAAAGAGATGATCATGTCTTTCCTTCCCTTTTCCAAACAATGACATCTCTTTCCGTACGCCATAAACTCTCCTAATTACAAGTACGGTGAAATTAAAATGTTTCTCTATATTTTATCTGTTTAGTATTGGGTATATTTTTTTTCTTCTTAGCTTTAATGATTTTCATTAGTTTTGTGTATAAACTTGTGCAAGAAGTACTCTTGTTAAAGTTAAAGTAAACTGTCGTTTTGGTACTAGGAATAATTTAATCCATTTTACATTGATTGCTATTGGAAAAATAATTTCTGTTTACGAACATTTAGGGTTACGAACGGGCTTCAGGAACGAACTAAATTCGTGAACAGAGGTTCCACTGTGTGTGTGTGTATATATATATATATATATATATATATATATATATAATTGTGCAGTATATATATTATACCATAAAGGAATAATTAGCAATGTTAATGTGATTAATGGCGAAATCACTTCGCTAATAAGATTTAATGAGACATTAACTTATTATCAATTCTTTGAATAATATGATCCTTATATTTGAATTGCTGTTTGATAGAAGTGACGAATTTATTTCCTCTTGGTGTTTACCTGTAAATGGAAATATTACACACTCGAGATTAAAATTTGAAATTACTGAAAGTACTCAACCCACGATCATCAATTCTATTTGACAACAATTCAAATATCTATCTATCTATCTATCTATCTATCTATCTATCTATCTATCTATCTATCACTCTGTTCATATCTATCACAGTCTGTTCATTTCTTTCTTTCTTTCTTTCTATCTATCTATGTGTGTGTGTGTGTATGTGTGTGTGATTGAATAATCAAACTCTATAAAATATCCAAATGTTCGGCTGTCTCTGTCGCGAAACAGCGAAAATGCCTTCGAAAAGTTGAGCAAATATCATATCAGTAGTCATCTATGGCCACTGAAAAGAAACTTGTGTCAAACGAAATTTGTTTCTGCGGCAGGGACGCTGTGGATACCATGAACTGAATATATGAGCAACGACGAAATTTTCAAAGGAAATGGAAAGAAAAAGGACACTTATATTTAAAATCAGAAAGAGGCAGTTGAAATATTTAGGACACATTATGAGAAAAGAGGGCTTGGAGAATTTGGCACTCACAGGACATATTAAAGTTAAGTAGGACGAGAGGAGTAATAAAGAATAATTTACTTGACAAGCCGGTGTAAACGTTAAAAAAACTCACTATAAAAAGTAGGAAGTTGTGGAGAGCTATGATTGCCAACGTCCTAAAGGGGCACGGTACATAGAAGAAGAAATGTTTTACCGGTAAAATCTAGTTTTTTTTTCTCCTTCAACTATTTTGGCACACGAAGGATGAGACATGATTTTTGATAACTTATGATGGTGTACACGGATGATGCTTTGCTCGCGTATTTAGAGTCATTGATTGATTCGTTTTCTACGGCTTGTGACACATTGCAGGGTATGGGCCCTATGGCCTTGGTTGGGAAAGCCACAAAATGTTTTCAGATTGTAAGAAATATTGATTTGTAAAATAATTGCGGTGTAAAAAATATCGGGTCGGAATTAGGAATCGGGGTGTCGAGTCCAAAATCCTTGAGAAAGATATAAATGCATCTCATCACCCCACCCCCAGACATGCGTTAAATAGCAGGGCCTATAGACTTGGTTGGCAACCAGTCTACAGCATAAAGAAATGACAACCTACTGCTGCAAAATCTTCTGTCTAATCAGTCATGAACCGAAAAAGACATGGCCATAAAAGCGTGTATCACGTAAGGAACTTAACTGTGGTTTAGTGATACTAACAGTTACTAATTAACTCCATATTTACTTGTCACTTTTGCTAGGAAAGTTTCAAAATAAATATTAGTACAAGCCTCGGGGGAGGTGCTTCACCCAGACAGCATTACTCCCAAAAAGGTGGTTTGAGCAATTTTTCAACGGTATTGACTTTAAACTGACCTTGTGTCAGATTCGGTAACGATGTTGGCGGGCTGAAAAATCCACTTAATAATTACAACTCATAGGTGGCGAAAGAAGAGGTGGATTCATGCCTTTCTATGTAAGTGAATATAACGAACCCAATTGGAAGTGGAACTCGGCACTCCGATTAACAATTCCAAGACATTATCCGTTAAACCACCTGCACTTCTAAGCTTATAGCACCTCGATTCCCAAGCGGACACCAGGCACTAACCAGTAGAGACGTTGCTTAACTTCGGTGATCACGTGGTGATCGGTGTTTCAAGATTATATGGCCGCAAGCCCTTCAGACCACGCTCACAACGAAGCATACAGCACGTTGTATTCCCAAGTGGTCACCCATCTGGGTACTAATCTGGCTCGACGTTGCTTAACTTCAGTGATCTTATGGTGATCGGTGTTTCAAGATGATATGGCAGCAAGCCCTTTAGACCACCCGTATATCCAAGCATACGGCACGTTGTATCCCCAAGTGGTCACCCATCTGGGTACTAATCAGGCTCGACGTTACTTAACTTCAGTGATCTTGAGGTGATCGGTGTTTCAAGACGATATGGCCGCAAATCCCTTCAGACCACCCGCACATCCAAGCATACTGCACCATGTATTCCCAAGTGGTCACCCATCTGGGTACTAATCAGGCTCAACGTTGCTTAATTTCCGTGATCTTGCAGTGATCGGTGATTCAAGATGATATGACCGCAAATCCCTCCAGACCACCCGCACATCCAAGCATACTGCACCATGTATTCCCAAGTGGGCACCCATCTGGGTACTAATCAGGCTCAACGTTGCTTAATTTCCGTGGTCTTGCAGTGATCGGTGATTCAAGATGATATGGCCGCAAGCCATTCAGACAAACCGCACATCAAGCATACTGCACGTTGTATTCCCAAGTGGTCACCCATATGGGTACTAATCAGACGCTACGTTGCTTAACTACAGTGATCTTGCAGTGATCGGTGTTTCAAGATGATATGGCCGCAAATCACATCAGACCACCCGCACATCCAAGCATACTGCACGTTGTATTTCCAAGTGGTCACCCATCGGGGTACTAATCAGGATCGACGTTACATAACTTCAGAGATCTTGCGGTGATCGATGTGTCAGGTGATATGGCCGCAAGCCCTTCAGACCACCGGCACATCCAAGCATACTGCACGTTGCATTCCCAAGTGGTCAACCATCTGGGTACTTATCAGGCTCGACGTTGCTTAACTTCAGTGATCTTGCGGTGATCGGTGTTTCAAGATGATATGGCCGCAACCCCTTCAGACCACCCGTTCATCCAAGCATACCGCACGTTGTATTCTCAAGTGGTCACCCATCTCGGTACTAATCAGGCTCGACGTTGCTTAACTTCAGTGATCTTGCAGTGATCGGCGTTTCAAGATGATATGGCCGCAAACCCTTCAGACCAACCGCACAACCAAGCATACCGCACGTTGTATTCCCAAGTGGTCACCCATCAGCGTACTGATCATGCTCGTCCTTGCTTAACTTCAGTGATCTTGCGGTGATCAGTGTTTCAAGATGATATGGCCGCAACCCCTTCAGACCACCCGTACACCCAAGCATACTGCACGTTGTATTCTCAAGTGGTCACCCATCTCGGTACTAATGAGGCTCGACGTTGCTTAACTTCAGTGATCTTGCAGTGATCGGCGTTTCAAGATGATATGGCCGCAAACCCTTCAGACCACCCGCACAACCAAGCATACTGCACGTTGTATTCCCAAGTGGTCACCCATCTCGGTACTAATCAGGCTCGACGTTGCTTAACTTCAGTGATCTTGCAGTGATCGGTGTTTCAAGACGATATGGCCGCAAACTCTTCAGACCACCCGCACAACCAAGCATACAGCACGTTGTATTCCCAAGTGGTCACCCATCAGCGTACTAATCAGGCTCGTCCTTGCTTAACTTCAGTGATCTTGCGGTGATCAGTGTTTCAAGATGATATGGCCGCAACCCATTCAGACCACCCGTACATCCAAGCATACTGCACGTTGTATTCTCAAGTGGTCACCCGTCTGTGTAGTAATCAGGCTCGACGTTGCTTAACTTCAGTGATCTTGCGGTGATCGGTCTTTCAAGATGATATGGCCGCAAGCCCTTCAGAACATCCGTACATCCAAACATACTGCACGTTGTATTTCCAAGTGGTCACCCATCTCGGTACTAATCAGGATCAACGTTGCTTAATATCAGTGATCTTGCAGTGATCAGTGTTTCAAGATGATATTGCTGCAAGCCCTTCAGACTACATGCCCAACCAAGCATACTGCACGTTGTATTCCCAAGTGGTCACCCATCTGGGTACTAATTAGGCTCGTCGTTCCTTAACTTCAGTGACCTTGCGGTGGTCGATGTTTCAAGATGATATGGCCGCAAGCCCTTCAGACCACCCGGACATCCAATCATACTGCACGTTGTATTCACAAGTGGTCAGCCATTAGGGTAGTAATCAGGCTCGACGTTGCTTAACTTCCGTGATCTTGCAGTGATCGGTGTTTCAAGATGATATGGCCGTAAGCCCTTCAGACCAGCCGTACATCCAAGCATACTGCACGTTGTATTCCCAAGTGGTAACCCATCTGGGTACTAATCAGGCTCGACGTTGCTTAACTTCAGTGATCTTTCGGTGATCGGTGTTTCAAGATGATATGGCCGCAAATCCTTCAGACCACGCTCACAACCAAGCATACTGCACGTTGTATTCCCAAGTGGTCACCATCTGTGTACTAATCAGGCTCGACGTTCCTTAAGTACAGTGATCTTGAAGTAATCGGTGTTTCAAAATGATATGGCCGCAAATCCCTTCAGACCACCCGCACATCCAAGCATACTGCACGTTGTATTCCCAAGTGGTCACGTATCTGAGTACTCATTAGGCTCGTCGTTGCTTAACTTCAGTGATCTTCCGGTGATCGGTGTTTCAAGACGATATGGACGCAAGCCCTTCAGACCACCCGCACATCCAAGCATACCGCACGTTGTATTCCCAAGTGGTCATCCCTAAGGGTACTAATCAGGCTCGACGTTGCTTAACTTCAGTGATCTTGCAGTAGTTGGTGTTTCAAGATGATATGGCCGCAAAGGCTTCAGACCACCTGCACAACCAAGCATACTGCACGTTTTATTCCCAAGTGCTCACCTATCTGGGTACTAATCAGGCTCGACGTTGCATAACTTCAGTGATCTTGCGGTGATCGCTGTTTCAAATGATATTGCCGCAAGCCCTTCAGATGACACGCACAACCAAGCATACTGAACGTGGTCACTCATCAGCGTACTAATCAGGCTCGTCCTTGCTTAACTTCAGTGATCTTGCGGTGATCAGTGTTTCAAGATGATATGGCCGCAACACCTTCAGACAACCCGTACATCCAAGCATACTGCACGTTGTATTCCCAAGTGGTCACCCATCTGGGTACTAATCAGGCTCGTCGTTCCTTAACTTCAGTGACCTTGCGGTGATCGATGTTTCAAGATGATATGGCCGCAAGCCCTTCAGACCACCCGTACATCCAATCATACTGCACGTTGTATTCACAAGTGGTCAGCCATTAGGGTAGTAATCAGGCTCGACGTTGCTTAACTTCAGTGATCTTGCAGTGATGGAGTTTCAGGATGATATGGCCGCAAATCCTTCAGACCACCTGCACAACCAAGCATACTGCACGTTGTATTCCCAAGTAGTCACCCATTAGGGTACTAATCAGGCTCGACGTTGCTTAACTTCCGTGATCTTGCAGTGATCGATGTTTCAAGATGATATGGCCGTAAGCCCTTCAGACCAGCCGTACATCCAAGCATACTGCACGTTGTATTCCCAAGTGGTCACCCATCTGGGTACTAATCAGGCTCGACGTTGCTTAACTTCAGTGATCTTACGGTGATCGGTGTTTCAAGACGATATGGCCGCAAGCCCCTCAGACCACCCGCACAAACAAGCATACTGCACGTTGTATTCCCAAGTGGTCACCCATCTGGGTACTAATCAGGCTCGTCGTTGCATAACTTCAGTGATCTTGCGGTGATCGGTGTTTCAAGATGATATGGCCGCAAGCCCTTCAGACCACGCTCACAACCAAGCATACTGCACGTTGTATTCCAAAGTGGTCACCCATCTGGGTACTAATCACGCTCGACGTTACTTAACTTCAGTGATCTTGCGGTGATCGTTGTTTCAAGATGATATGTCCACAAGCCCTTCAGACCACCCGTATATGCAAGCATACTGCTCGTTGTATCCCCAAGTGGTAACCCATCTGTGTACTAATCAGGCTCGACGTTACTTAACTTCAGTGATCTTGCAGTGATCGGTGTTTCAAGATGATATGGCCGCAAATCTATCGGACCACTTGCACAACCAAGCATACTGCACGTTGTATTCCTAAGTGGTCTCCCATCTGGATACTAATCAGGCGCGTCGTTGCATAACTTCACTGATCTTGCGGTGATCGGTGTATCAAAATGATATGGCTGCAAATCCTTCCGACCACCTGCACAACCAAGCATACTGCATGTTGTATTCCTAAGTGGTCTCCCATCTGGATACAAATCAGGCTCGTCGTTGCATAACTTCAATGATCTTTCGGTGATCGGTGTTTCAAGATCATATGGCCGCAAGCCCTTCAGACCACGCTCACAACCAAGCATACTGCACGTTGTATTCCCAAGTAGTCACCCATCTGTGTACTAATCAGGCTCGACGTTCCTTAAGTATAGTGATCTTGCAGTAATCGGTGTTTCAAGATGATATGGCCGCAAATCCCTTCAGACCACCCGCACATCCAAGCATACTGCACGTTGTATTCCCACGTGGTCACCCATCTGGGTATTAATCAGGCTCGTCGTTCCTTAACTTCAGTGATCTTCCGGTGATCGGTGTTTCAAGACGATATGGACGCAAGCCCTTCAGACCACCCGCACATCCAAGCATACTTCACGTTGTATTCCCAAGTGGTCACGTATCTGGGTACTCATTAGGCTCGTCGTTGCTTAACTTCAGTGTCTTGCAATGATCGGTGTTTCAAGATGATATGGCCGCTAATCCTTCAGACCACCACACAAACAAGCATACTGCATGTTGTATTCCAAAGTGGTCACCCATCTGGGTACTAATCAGGCTCGTCGGTCCTTAACTTCAGTGATCTTGCGGTGATCTGTGTTTCAAGATGATATGGCCACAAGCCCTTCAGACCACCCGCATATCCAAGCATACTGCTCGTTGTATCCCCAAGTGGTAACCCATCTGAGTACTAATCACGCTCGACGTTACTTAACTTCAGTGATCTTGCGGTGATCGCTGTTTCAAGATGATATCGCCGCAAGCCCTTCAGACGACGCGCACAACCAAGCATACTGCACGTTGTATTCCCAAGTGGTCACCCATCTGGATACTAATCAGGCTCGACGTTGCTTCACTTCGGTGATCTTGCAGTGATCGGTGTTTCAAGATGATATGGCCGCAAATCCTTCAGAGCACCTGCACAACCAAGCATACTGCACGTTGTATTCACAAGTGGTCACCCATCTGGGTACTAATCAGACTCGACGTTGCTTAACTTCGGTGTTTGTACGGGAACCGATTGTTCAAGATGATGTGGCACGTAAGTAAAGGTATTTTGTACTCCTAAGAGACTATAAATAGCTATGCCTTATCCGAAGTTCGAACTCAGCTGGCCTATTCCGTTTCTCCATTCGATCTGTCATCGTCTTATCTCGCGCATGCATCCATTTAATATGAGATTTCTTCTTTCCAAGCAATCCTGTCTGCTACGGCAACTAGTCAATCCCTTTTGCAGAGACATGCCCAGGCACATCTATGTTCTGTTCAATGCCCACAAAGCTCTTTAACTATGCTGAGCGGACCTTAGTTACAGGTTCTGGGAAAATGCGCATAATCGCCTTCCCTCGTCGATAAGAATTCACTTTTGTGACAAATCGACAATGCTGAGATTCGAACCTGATTGTCTATGTTGGAAAGCGAACATTCTAACCACTCGGACATATATTTTTTAACGCAACATTAAGAAGATATTGGCAAGTTTTATCCTCGGAACGTCGTGACGTTAAAAACGCTCACGTTCACCCCCATCACCGATCGCCACATCGTGAACCATCTCGCTAAGTTTGTACCAAGATGGCGCTTGCAATGCTATCTCGATGAGTGGCCATCGAAGTTGAGAGAAAAGTGTTTGGAATTCGGAGCACTGGCCTCATCAGATCAATCTGTGCGCGTGCTTGTAAAATCCGACACGTAGACAGCGCAAACGAACAGCACATAGGCGACTGTATACAAGATATATATGTTTCTTGAATTGCAGCATGCGTAGGCAGTTCTTCTTTCCGACCCACACATAGATGAGCTATATTTAACTTAGTTTGGCACAAGGTCACGATAAGAGAGCACTCGGAGATAACTAATGTCACTACATTAAAGGTCAGTGTATTAGCTTGTTAACCATCACCCTACACTATATAGAAATTAAAATTAATTCATAATACCTACATAGCTAAACGCCTCTCTCTCCCCCTCTCTCTCTATATATATATATGTGCGTGTGTGTGTAAGAGTGGATCAAAATCTGGTAGCCTGACACATTTATTAGCCGAAAGGTAAGCTGAAATTTCATTGAATAAAATTTGATATCCTTAATGACGATGATTAAGTGCATTAGCAAGGAGTGAGATGACGTTGTAAAATTTTTTATTGCGCGAAATTCTTTTCTTTTTATCATTAGGTTACAGACTTACTGATCTACTTGATTACTCTCCCGTCTTGTAAAAATTATAATGAGAGGGGAGACTCCATCAGACATAAAATAGGGAGTTACTTTTCAATCACCCTGTATGTAGACACACGCACACACACACACACACATATATATATATATATATATGTTAGCTCTATCTCTGATATTGAGCGCTTTCTAATAAGTACTGTGCATATATAATATATAAATAATTATACATATATATATTTGTTTATATTTATATACACTTTTCACACACACACACACACACACACACACACACACACACACACACACACACACACACACACACACACACACATATATATATATAGCTGGATGTGTGCAATTAGGTATATATATTTTTATATACGTAAGTAGATTATCTATCTATCTATCTATCTATCTATCTATCTATCTATCTATCTATCTATCTGTCTGTCTGTGTGTGTGTGTGTGTGTGTGTGTGTGTGTGTGCGTGCGTGCGTGTATGCAAGTGAATAGTATTTGTAATGATTTTCTGAACAACACAAAAAGGTAGCGAGGAGAAAAGTCAGAACGAAAAATCGAGCAAAATGCAGATACGCACAAGGGAGTGTTGAAGAGAAATAGAATAGCGATTACAAGAGGAAGGAAAAAAGAAAAAGGAAAAACAATGGAAGTAGACATAGAGAGAATGTCGAAAAGGGAGAAAAAGAGAAGTAAAACGAATATTGAGGTATTTTTTTAAGGGTTTGCAAATAAAATGTTCGGAATATTATTGGGGAATTAGATTAAAAAAGGAAAAGAGAAGAAAAGTATACGATCTAAAGAGATATCAGATTAGAAAGAAAGAAAGAAAGAAAGAAAGAAAGAAAGAAAAAAGAAATGTGGAGAGACGGAAATGTCAAAGATTGAAAGAAGAAGCGTAAAGTAAAAAAATGTAAATGAAATAAAAATAAAATGGTGACAATTAAATTTGTCAACGAGTAAATGATAAGAATGAAAGAAAATAAAGACACAAAGCAAGAAAGAAAGAAAAAAAGGTGAGGAAGAGATACAGAAATAAATAAATAATGAAAGACTAAATCGAACGACAGAAGGCACATTTGATTAATTTAGAACAAAAGAATATTAGTGAAGACGAAAGAGAAGCGTAAAGGAGGAAAATAAAAATAATTATCGATAAAAATAAATTTAATCGAGAATTAAACAGAGAAAGGCAAATGGATTTAAAAAAAAGGAATGAAAGACAGAAAACGTCGAGGAAAATTGAATCGCTTCGGCGAATAAAAATCGACACAAATCAAAAAGAAAAGAAAAGAAAGACGTTTGAATTAATGTCAATAAAAAAACTGTGAAAGACAGGCTGGCAAAAAGGAAAGAAAAATCATGACAAACGAGGAAAAAGAATGAATTATTTTAGTAGGGAGTGTGCAATGTAAACGCAATAGCACATCATTAGAGAAAGCTGCTGCTGATGCTTTTGAGTTGGTTGCGGTGATGTCAGCAAAAAAGTATGCAGTAGAAAAGGACGGCGGGTGGGATAAGAACTGGATGGAACAGCCGTTAATGAAGGGGAGGAGAGAATGTGAGTTGTGTGGTGGAAGAACAATACAGTAACGGGAGAGGGTAACTTGCGAACTGTGTCTTACGCGTATGCGAGAGGAGAGGGGAAAAAGAATAGGATTAAAAAAAGAAAAAAAAGAAAAGAAAAAAGAACATGAAATAAAAAATAGAGAGTAAGGAGAGAAGGGAATGAGTAATGACATATATGAGAAAGGAGAGTCAGTATGTAAAATAAGAAGAATGAAAAGGACAAACGAAAGAAAGCAGATAGATAGAGAGATAGATAGATACATAGATAAAAAGAGTGGGTAGAAAAAGAAAGAGTGTAGAAAAGAAGCCAGCTAATACGATGACCTACTTTCTTTTCTCTCTTTTAGTAATGGCGTCGGACATGGTTATAATGAGTGAAAGAGAGAGAGAGAGAATAAAAACGAATTAGGTGTTGACTGAGAGAAATAAAACTTCATTTTTTTTTATCACACTTTATATTGCGAATAGAAATAAAAAAAGATCGATTTAGAATAGATAATAAAACCAAAATAATAAAATTCATTTAAATTTGAACAATAAAAAATCATTGGTAAAATTATATATGTTTTTTTTTTGTCTTTCTCGATCTCTCTCTTTCTTTTTACGCACGAAACTGAAATGTTAAATAAACGAAATATTTTCTCTATTATTGGCTAACGTCAACGTAGCTGCATATAAAATCTATGATACCCACGTGGTATATCTATGTCGTACATATGTATATAGGCATTTGTTTTCTTACTATCTAAAGATGATTATAATTATTAATTTATGGGGAAAAATCGCAAATGTGTTCCCAATGTAAAGAATGACTAAAAATTGCCAAATTGATCAAATATTCCGGATTTTCTAAACGAAGTCCATTTTTTTTCCGTCTTTAGGCGATTGGAAATATACTATCATGGATTTTACAAGCACTAGGAAAAATGTTTAGAAGAAGATCGTTTTTTTTTTTCGTTCGGTATTGGACTCGCTTCTTGTGTGCTTGAAATTCGCAAAATGGCCAAGGAAGCTGAAGAAGCAGAACGTTACTAGCATTTGCAGCGTTCGTGTCGCCTTATTGAGGTCAGAAGAATATGCAGGCAACATTTATTCATTGTAAACTAGTGTTAACTCAGAGTCGTCGAGTTTTTATGTAGGAGGCAAAAGGGTGGGAGGCGAACATAGAAGAAAAGAGGATTCGGGGAAAAGAGAAAACAAATATGGCGAAACAGAGAGTGTGAAAAGGAGAACAGAAATTAAAATGGAAGGAGGATGATGAGAACGAATGTGGAATTGCTGTCGATTGATGTGAAAAGAGAGAGGTGTACTTGAGAATCTGAAAGATGAGAGAGAGGAGATTTAAGCAGTATGTGTTTGTGTTTTTGGTGGTGACGCGAACAGGATATATTGCATAGATTTCTGCCACAGTGTAAGTTAAAAGCTGGTGATCTGGACATTATAGCTTGTACTTTCTGTCTGTGAGTGGATATATATATATATATATATATAGGTATCTATCCGTGTGTGTGATAACCGTATAAAAGTGGATATCATCTGCCTACATATTTTTCGCGTGTGTGTGTATGATAAATAATTTTGTTGATCCTGTTGTCTCATATTCAACACTCCTTTTTAATATCTATCTATCTATCTATCTATCTATCTATCTATCTATCTATCTATCTATCTATCTATGTCGATTTCTTTACTATCTATCTATCTATCTTCATCGCTATCAAATTCTGCTCATATCTATTTTAAAAGGTAAGTTAGTCTCCATAATATATTACAGTAAGGAGTTAATCATTAAAGGGGTATCAATATATATATATATATATATATATATATATATATATATATATATATATATATATATATATATACACAGAATGGCTGCTGCTAAAGTAATGGCCTCTCTTCATTGATACTAACATGTGTGCAGTTCGTCTGTAGCTTTTTTAGTGCTGTTAGAGACTGACACTCTCTTGCACAGATGTGGCAACGTTGTATATATACATACAAAGATACATGCACATAAATATGTGTGTATGTGTGAGTATATATATATATATATACGCACGCGAACAAACACATATATATTGTCCTGTGGAAGGCATGAATCCACTTCCCCCTGTCGATAAGGGCAGGACTGATATTCTCTTTAGCTGATAAGATGTGCAACCTCGTTCAAACTGTCACATGCTACTTGTATGAAATTGACCGAATTGGCCAGAAGATATCGAAAGGTTGAAACCAAGGTAGCAGAATCGGTTGATTTTCTAACTCTCTCTCCCTCTCTCTCCCCCACCTCTCTCTCTCTCTCTCTCTATATATATATATATATATATATATATATATATATATATATATATATAATCCAGGCAGAGAACCCATATAAACATATATATATATAATGTATACAAACACACACAGATACATACATATATAAATTTGTATATATATATATATATATATATATATATATATATATATATATATATATATATATGTGTGTGTGTGTGTGTGTATTTAGGCAAATATATCTTCGTTCAAACTAATATAGACTAATTGATATTAAGACGGAGAGGAAGAGTCGTATGTATGTGTATATATATATATATATATATATATATATATATATATATATATACAAGTATATAATTGGTATATTTGGAATGAATTCAATAACCAACAATTACTATTCTTAAAAGAGTGCTCAATATAAAGTAGAGCAGATATAATTATTATTTATAAAAGATTATAACATATGTATGTACTTATGTTATAATTTTTTATAAATAATAATTATATATATATATGTCTGTGTGTGTGTATATATATATATATATATATATATATATATATATATATATATATATATATATATATATAAACTTAATCTTCAGTGGATACATTTATTATAATTCTATCCACTAAATACACTGTTTAATAAATAGACGAAGCGTTTACTCAAATACAAGTATGTACTATGAAGTAACGAGTAAAAAACTAAAAAAAATAACATTAAAAGTTATAAGTTATAAAGTTAAAGTTATTTATATTAAGTTATTTATTTTGTTATAAAGTTAAAGTTATAAATTAAAAAAATAACGTGTAAATTGATAAAACGGGATAAAACTGGATTAATAAAAGATCTATTCTAAAAAATACATGCATATCTGAATATATACATTTTATAGATGTACATAGTTGTACGTACGTAGGCATGCGTATATATACACGTACATATATATATATATATATATATATATATATATATATATATATATATATATATGCATAAACGTAAATATATTTACCCATGTATACACGCATACATTGACGCGTGCATGCGCACACACACATATACACGCACATAAATTTCCGCACACACACACACACACACAGAGAGAGAGAGAGAGGGTGTAACAGCAAAATTGTCCAAATCATATAACAGCAAAACTGTCTAATTGTTAGATGAAGCTTTGAGCCGCTGTACCTTAGAAATGTTTAAAGATATTTTACTGGAATTCTCCGAGGTTTTTTTTATAACACTATTGGACTCTATTCTGAACAATAAGAATGTATTTAACTCTAAGTTGAAATGATGATCCCTCTTCCTGTTGTGACCTCCTCATCCAGTTTTTTCTTTGCTATTGCTCCCTCTTTTTAAAACTTATTCACCATTCTCTTGATGGTTCCTGAATGAACTTTGAACATGGAAGCCAGAGTATGAATGCTGGTACCATTACTGAAACCCTGCCTGATCATTTTCCTCTCGCCATTGATCAGTTAGGAAGACAGTGGGACTAACACAAAATTATTTTAACTTGTTTTCTTTCTATCTTAATATCTCAAACGACAAATGGTGGTGTGTGGGTGTGTGTATTTAGGCAGCAATTCTTCTTTTATACATGCTTCATTAAAGACAAATGGAATGGCGATTAAGCTTTTTATTCACATTTTTTCTGTTCGTAAAACACATTTCTTTACTGGACATAAGGGGTGTAAAAACTGTCCGCATATTCTATATACACGTGTACTTTCGGCTATTCTATTACCCATTATCAATGATTTTTTTATTATCCAAACACGGTCAGCACATTGTGATCGTGTTCATAGTTGATGTTATTGATTGTTGGATTTTTCTTTTTTTTTATTAATAGTGCTTCCATTATTTTTAACACTCAATAACATGAACTAATAAAACGGCCATAATGAGCTGTCCGTGTTTGGAAAATAAACAACATTCACATCACTTTAGAAACATAAAAAAAAAAATCTACAAATTCTGTTAGAAATCAAAAACAAAAACTGATGATTGCATTCAATAATGAAATAGACTGTCAGCACTCGATGCTGAACTCACTGTTCAATTTTATATACGCTCTATCTCTGATATTGATGATTTTTAACCATAAATATAGTATAACTTAGTCATATATATATATATATATATATATATATATATATATATATATATATATATATATAATGTATATACGGTGTATCAAAGATACTTTTACAAACTTTGGACCGGGTTTCTCACCTAAAACAAGGACAAAGGTCCATATAAAGATATATTCGAAAATCCTTTGGTTTTTAATTATCCAGTTTAAAGTTTACGGTAGACCTTGTTAAATGTACAATGCAAGATACACTATAAAAATAATAATTACCGTCGTTCATGGTGGCACCGATTCTATCTCCGCAACGCAAAGATAAACAGAAGCAAAAGTTGAATGACTCAGCTACCATCGGACTGGAAAGGCAATCTGTCACAGACGTGCAGCCTCGTGTCCATTACCATATACGCGGCCCTATGTAAAAATCATATCTGCCTGCTCACGAGATGAATATCCTGCCATTGTTAAACGGAACACTTCTCAGTTAACTCACTGTTACGCGTTACATTGAAAACATACTAGCCACAAATGTACACGAATGACAAATGTAACCTAGTCTATATGGCAACACAGCGCCATCTACAGTAAACTTTCTTTAAACTTAATAATTCAAAAGGAAGACTTTGCGGACATGTTTTTATGGACTTTTTCCTAGTTTAGTGTGACAAACTCGCCCCCAAAGCTTGTAAAAATATTTTAAACACCCTGAATATATATATATATATATATATATATATATATATATATATATATATATATATATTTTCTATATATATATTTTATATATTCATGGTGCTTATTGGAAAACGCTCAATATCAGTGATAGAGCTAACATATTTAGTTGAATGTATATTAGTTTGTAACAGGAGTTATAA